GTAATTACATTGAACCTTATGGGGAAATTTCCTTTGGGTTGCGACCAATTCGGGATGCGACGAGAGTCACAGAACGAATTAAGTTCGTAAACCGAGGTTCCACTGTATTATACATGTAATCACAGGCTGTTTATAATAGTTAACAGTGTAGGCTATTAAAATACAGTGTTCTGCTCATTTTAAATGCATCCTGGAAACTGAACTGTTCCTAACTTGGTGTACAACAGAAGTGTTTACATTGCTTCATAAAAATGCTAGCTAACCTGTATGCATGAATACTTTTTTGTGTTGCATATATTATGAAATATACGTTAGTCAACAGTAATAAGTTTTTAAATAACTTACATTGTTCCCATAATGCTCCATAGATAATAAATTGTGCACCAAGTACCAGTAATCAGCTATCTTTCCTGGATTCTCCTCCATAGGGAAGTTGGTGTTCTTTGGCCTTGTGATGAAGGACAAGACAACTTAGCTTGAGCAACTTTATGTGGGTACCCTCATTTCCATTTTTCCATCCAAGGAGAAAACCAAGAGTGTCTGCAGTGGCAGGTACTGGCTTCAAAGTGATGGGTGCAACCAGGTAATCCAAGCCCCACACTTTTTTACAAGCATACAATGTCAGTAATGCACATTTAAAAGGGGTGTGGCTTTGATTGCCTAGTCATATCTGCCATTTTGAAACCACTGTGGATCCCCCTGCTCCTGTTTTTTTTTTTTTCTTTTCAAGTAGGAAAGTTGATTCTGCATGGATAAGAAAAAGAGTAGAGTTGGATTTCTGCTAATGTTTTCACCTGTCTTCTCTTTCCTTTTTTGGAAAGATAAAAGTCCAAAGATAAGGGGGAAGATGGTTTTGTAGAGACTGTAATCAATATATTCATTAATACTTTAACATTTTCATTATTTAAAACAATTCTTGATCGGCCTGAAGAAATAATTTTTCAGTCAATTTAGTAACTTGCAAATACTCTCTTCTTAATTTTGTTTGATTCACTTTCCTTTTTTTCCCAACAGGCCTGAGAATTCGCTTATTCAATTTTTCACTCAAACTTTTAAGCTGCATGCTATATATAGTTCGAGTCCTCCTGGATGAACCATATCAGCAACATGGATGGTAATCTTTACTTCTTTTAATTTTTCTCTCAATGTGCTTGAGAAATTCTTTTACTAAAATAGTCATGTATAATATATGATCTCCTAACCCAATTTTAATTTTAGAGGAGTCATTTGCAGTCCAATTTCAAATTTCATTATGTGCAGGTAGAGATGAGTATAGGACTACAAGCAAATCTTAATTAGCAAATTGTTTATATAGTAAAATATTAAGGAGACAAGAACATTTGTTATTGTTGCTATTGTATCTCACATAATATTTATTTATTAATTTAATTTCTATAGCTGCCCATCTCAACCAAGTGACTCTGGGTAGCAAACAATTCTAAAGCAATTAAAACAATTAAAAACAATACAAAAATATATGCAGCAGCCAAGAAAATTATCATAATAATTATCAATATAGCCGAGAGACAGGGCCCTTAACATGTTCAGAGCCCCAGAGCCAAGCACATAGCCAGGTCTTTAAAGCCTTACAAAAGGCCAACAGGATCGTGGCCATCCTAATCTGGGAGGATGTTCCAAAGGGCAGGGGCTACAGCAGAGAAGGCATGTCTCCTGGTCCCTGCCAGCCAACATTGCTTGGCTAATGGGACCCTCAGCATGCCCAACCTGCTGGACTGAATTGGACAGGTAGAAACTATTGGGAAAAGATGGTCCCTCAGGTAACTCGGTCCCAAGCCACACAGGGCCTTAAAGGTGACAACCAGCATCTTGAATTGCACCTGAAAACACACTGGCAACCAATGCAGCTCACATGGTAGGCAATTATATATGTGTCGCATATCTGACATCATTTACTACTTGTGCAGTTGCATTCTGTACCAGTTGGAGCTTCCAAATGCTCTTGAAAGGCAGCCCCATATACAGCATGTTGCAGTAGTCCAAGCAAGAGGTTATGAGGGCGTGGGTGACTGTGAGCAGAGCCTCTCAATCCAGGAATAGACTTGACTGGCATACCACCTGGAGGTGTGCAAAGGCCCTCCTAGCCACAGCTGCCACCTGCTCTTTGAGTAGGAGCCATGAGTCCAGGAGGACCCCCAGATTGCATACCAGGTCTGTCTGGGACAGTGCTACCCCATCCAGAACCAAAGGTGGAAAAGCCTTGTCTTTAGAAGGTCCAAGTCTTGAGGGACTTGCAAAAAGTTAACAGGGTTGGAGCCAGCTTTACCTTGGGAGGAATGATGTTCCATAAGGTGGGTGCCATGGCAAAAAAGACTTGTCTCTGGGGTCCCGCCAGGTGTAGCTCACTAGCAGACAGAACCCACAACATACATCTTCTGCTGGGTCTGATGGGAGAGGTAGATGTAATCAGGAAGAGGTGGTCCCTCAAAAAACCCAGCCCAATGCCATGAATATCTACCAGTTCCTCCATTTCCTGACCACAGGGGCAGTGAGGCCCCTGATGACAGCTGGGCTATGTCAGATCTTGACCATCATAACATTTTATTTATGGGATCTTTAGTTCTTTTCCCTTTGACTCAGTTCAGCTATTGCCTGTTAATATTGTTCTTGTCTGGTTTTCCCATGCCCATCTACGACAGGTTCCTTCAAACTTTGCTTTGGGTTTTTAATGTCCTTTGCTATCCTCCTCTATGTAGCATTACAGGTGTTTTTGGATATGCTTTGGTCTCCCTCAGAATTTTCACAGCTCAAGATATTTTAGCACCTAGGCTCTCAGCTCCCTGGAAGAAACAACTGATTTTAATATTTAAAAAAGATTTTTAAAACATTTTTTTCACAGGAGGTAATGGAAGAAGCTGCCCACAGCTGAGCAATATTGTAAAATTGATCTTTAGCTAGACAGCTAACAAGCTTTCAGATTGTCTTGTTGATGGAGTTGTATTTATCTGAATTGTTTTTAGTTATTTTTTTCAGTATATAGGACTTAATTAATTGGCTTTGTTACTTTGCTGATTATAAATTGTGTGTTTTTTTAGTTGGCTGTTGTGTCTTTGCAATTTTATTATATAAAGATTTGAAGTTATTGGCTGTCCTTCACATTATGGTATTTTGTGTTTTTTAAAATGATTATTGTGCATCTTGTTGAAAGGTGTTCTGTAAAATACTGTTATTGCTGCTGTTGATATTATTATTTATAAGAGTTACCTAGTTTTGTTTTATTCAAGGGACTTTTGCATGCGGTATGTACATATGTGTTCAGGCCAATATAATAAATACAGTATATTTGTTTTTAATTTTAAAAGCAAAGCAGTTTGACTATTGCCAACTACATAAAAAGTGTGCCTCTGTCCAACTTTACATTAAATTTTAACTAACAAAGTGAAAAGTTTGATTTTCAAGTGTCTGAAGCCAGCAGCCAATAGCCCTGTCTAAAAGCCCTCATAGATTGGACAAGTTCAGTGCTCACACAAAGTTGGTATTTGCAGGAGAGTTTTGCAATATGTCATTTGTAGACGCCTCAATCCAAATGCAGGAAAAATGTTTGACTTCAAAGCGCTACCCTGCGTAAATCTCTCTGCATAAGCCTTTGCTTTCCAATAAGGAAAAGAGACCAGTGCTTTGGTGCCTCAACTCCACAGTACATACATTTTCTTTGAAAGTTTAGTTTCATTTTTCATGAAAACTGGCTTCGTTAGATCTGAACAAGGCATTGCTTTAAATCACAGGTCCTAAAAAAGGGAACTTCAAATAATGGGATGTAACTTAGCTTGTTTAAATTACCAGAATTTGCTTCAAACCCTACTCTTTGATTTTAAAAAATTGACAAGCTAGCATTCATGAGAAAGAAAACTAAATGCTGCTGAAGTAGAGGGGAAAGAGTACCCAAGCTCATTGCTTTTACTGAATTCATTCAAGCCTGCACATGTACTGCTATACCATGGCTTGACACTCATTTTGTCTAGATGGGAGGCTAAACAGGCTAACATGCTCTCATCTCTGCCTCTCCTTGACTGTGTTTGCAGCATAGCATAACAAATGGACTACAGTAAATGCTACTGAAATTAATGACACTTACAGAGTAAATATGCAAAGGTTTCTATTTGCCTCACAGCCCAGCACATGTTCTGCTGTTGAGGTGTTCTCTGTTTTCAGATGGGGGGAGGGGGAAGGGAATGACTGTCTCTATTACCTCAAAGATCTCTTCCACATTTCTATTGCCTTCGTGTAGAATAAGCTGCGATAAACAGATCCGTTCCCATTATAGCAGAAACCTAAGCATTCCTACTTGGAGTAAGCACCATTAAACTTACTATAGAGTATGCATATATACATTTGCACTTGCTAAGCATAGCAAAATTGTTTTCTGTGAAAAATCTTTTGACTTTTCCCTCTTTCCCTGTTTAGCTATTTCTTCCAGTTACTTTAATAGTGTCCTAGTTTGCTCCTCTACCTTTCTCTTCCTTTCTTCCCCTCACCCTTCACGAGTACATGTGAGCGTATGTGCATGTATGTAAGAAATAATGGTTTGTATTATTTTTATATGCAGTTGAGGAGGATTGAATTTATTGAAATGAGGTGCCTTTTTATCGGCAATTAATTTTATTCACTAGTTATTTATTCAAGTAAAAATAATTGACTTTTTTTGTTTGTCCTTCTTTTATTCTTAGAATGTAGCTTTGGAACAGTGTGTGTAGACATAGGCAAACACAGTTGTGCAGGGAAGTCTGTCATGGGATTTACTGAATTTATTGAAATGTGGTACCTTTTTATTGATAATTAATCTCATTCGGTAGTTATTTATTCAATTAAAATTAATTTGATTTTTTTGTCTTGTCCTTTTTTCTTGGTATGTAGCTTCAGAACAGTGTGTGTAGACATATACAAACACACAGCTGTGCATACAAGTCTGTCTCATGCATACATTTACAGTATTGGGAAGAAAAACATCTTCAGGATTGGTTTCAGCTGAAGTTCACAGCATTAGCTTGATATTGTAGAGAAATTAGGCATTGCCCAGGTGTTTTGTGCTGTTTATAATTTTACATCTAATCTCCCCTTCTTTTCCTTTTTCTAAAGATTTGCCTTAGTTTTAGTTATCTTTCAAGTAAATACAGTATACATGAAACATCGAAACTTTAGAAATTTACAATTTCTGATGAAATGTATCTCAGCTCAGTCTAAATCTTCACAAGCATCTAACTATAGTTCCGTTTCTTTTAATCATATAATTCCAACAGAATAATGGAATCATCGTTTGTACATCTTATTCTATAGAATTTTTTAAAAGTCGTAGTAAATTTAATGAAACAGGTAGCTTTAATAAATGAAGCCTTGTATTTGTTTTCCATAACTATTGTATTTCCTAGGAACATATATCTACAGAGAATGTCAGAGCTATTTATTTTAATAGCTGGAATATAAAATTAACTGTATACAATCTAATAATACTGAAAACATTATTTTAAAGTTGACAGTTACCTCCATATTGAATCTCATCTCTTGGGAGAGAATATCAGAGCAGACGACACTGGTAGGAGAAACCAGGAGTTGCTGCCAACTAGACAGTATGAATGAGTTTTCCCATTAGTAGATATCTTGGTGGTTCCCAGGGATATCATTATTATTCCTGTGGATAGTTGTGCCATCTTCCAGGTTAGCTTGGAAAATCTTTAACATTTAAATTTTGCATTGGCTTTTATATGGCTTTTAGTTTGCAGCTATTTCCAATTCATTTTTTTTTTCCAATGAAAAGTTGTAAAGTCAGGAGGATAATGTATGTTTAAATCACTATACAAAAATACTACTAATTGCATCTTTCTTTTGACATGAATGTTTTTATGTGATTGGCAGCTCAAAGGAAGATGTGGCAAGTAGTCCACAATATAAGTAGATTGCAAATAATAATTAAAAACAGGATTCTGCCCTATAATCAATTGTCAGGTTGAATTAAACAGTAAAAGACTTAGAAATTGAGATTGTTCATTTGTATTTGCCTATTTTCCTTTTGTTTTCTTATTTTATGCCTCTTTTAATATGAAACCAAGTTCAGATTCTTTTTTTTACTCCTGAAGTCCATTTAATGAGTTTGTTCTTTGGAGAAACAATGATTTTTAACAAAAGTGTGTGCATGCATTTTAATACATTATCCCTGTAGATGGCATTAATATTAAATCTTCATGTGGAAGTTTAATATCTAGCAAAGATGACACTAAAGTGGGGGAAATGGGAAAACAAGCATGGGAGCAGTGGTTCTTTCCCATGGCTTTGGCTAGGTTGACTTTCCTGTCGCCATGGTGCTTGTCAAGGAAAGGACTTAATTTTTTTTGGGGGGGGGGTTAAATGCATTTTTATCCTGCATTTTTGTCAAAGGCATATTGGGTCATTGCTCATTTTATCCTTACAACCACCACCTTGTAAGATATATTGGGCTGAAGAAAAGAACAAAGTCATCTATGGACTGGATCACCTTGGTCTCAGTGCAATACTATCCATCCTAGTGACCTTAAGTCTCCTTGCTAGGGCTAGAGGAATAGTAACTTAACTAAGCTGGGTCATAGTTCAGAGGAATATATATTTTAGGTAAATGCTATAAATAAAATTGGGGACAACAGAACTAGAAATCTAGTTTCAACTCTATTTGCACATAATTGATTGTGACATGAAATGATGGAGTTATCAGAGCCATTTTAATGTTCACTGCAACCAACATTATACTTTTGGAATATTTACTGAAAGATTTTGCATATCCCTAAATTATTTTGTTACTGCTTTTGAGAGGGGCTCCTAATAAATTTGGCATCTCCTTACACAATGTTTATTTTTCTGTGCAGCAAGTATATCCGTGGGTTACATGCTAAGGATATATGTTTTTATACAAAATGTTGTAAGCAATTAAAAAAAAAATCTTTTAAAATGATCCACTGACTTGCATGAGGCCCATTTTAATAAACTGAATCTTTGGATTTTGTGCTCATAACATCAGAATATCATTATTATGATTAATATAACATTCTCAACAGGAAGAATAATTGTGGCTTCGGTTTCTTTGCTTGAGTAAAATGCATTAAGTCTAAGACTGAAAAAGAACATAAAAGTTTCAAATGCTAGATTTTAGTTACCATGGTCTCAACCTCCTCTTCCTGTACTATTTCCTGGACTTTTGCCATATCCTAATGTGATAGTTGTAGAAAAATCATCCCAGAGCAACTCTGTTTACTTAAAAGAGGATGGGATCTCATTACAACTTCTCCCTAAATTCATGGGCTGTACCAGTAATTTCCTGTGGAATGGAATAAATCTTCAATATTTATAGGACATTGCAAAATATAATGTACAGAAAGCAGATACCAGAAGTATGAAAATAATAATATTTTTTTTAAAAAAGAATGTCAACCAGCTGCTTGTCACTTCATTTATATCAGAGTGATGAATCTTTTAAAATGTTTCCTTCCAAAGGTCTATAGATTTATAATGTAGTGTAGTCCAGCTGGCATTTTTCAATTAGAAAAGTTACCAGACTAATTCCTAATTAATGACTTAAAGAAAGTCATTTGGATTTTAAATAATCATGTCTAAGACTTATCTATTGGGGAGTATGTATGTATGTATGTATGTATGTATGTATGTATATGTATATATAAAAAATAAATTCCCCTCGCACCTCTATGGGTAGTATGTGTCTTCCTCAATTTTGGGTATTCTACCAGAGGCCTGGGAGTTTGAGGGTTCTGCACAGTATCTTAGCTGTTCATAGCACTGCACTCTTCTGGACAGAGAGCTCTGATGTGGTCCCTGAGATCTGTTGGAGCCACTCTCCCAGCTTAGGAGTCACAGCCTCAAGTGCTCCTACCACCACTGGGACCACTTTGGCCTTTACTTTCCACATCC